GCTAACTGAAAGCACTACTCTGTTAGAAGCTTTGTTACTCAAGAAGTTAGAGATTATTTGTGTGCTTAAAAAGATAGCTAGAAACAAGATCGCTAGCATTTTGAGTTACATTAAGAAAATCTATTTAATCTTATTATTAGATAGAAACTTAGTGTTTTCTTCTAATAAGACAAATTTTAAAAAGCACTTCCGCCTTTATCAGAGGTGTGAGCTGACTGCTGTGACGTGTCTCTCATCAGCTCTTGTTCCTAAATGTAGTCAGTTTGAATGATCTGGCAGATCCATTAGACTGACCATGCCTACCGTTGTGTGGTGGTCTCTGGAGAAGTGAGTCCCATGTGTGAGCAGATGTAAACGTTCCCTTGTCTCTGTTGATGGTCCATGCGCCCTGCTTTTCAGTTAGTGACTGTCACTTTTTCGTTGAACACCTAAATGGGACCATGAGCGCTTGTATTAAAACAGGCTCCAGAAATGTGTTGTTTAAATCTTTTTTTTTTTTTTTTTTTTTTTTTTTTTTTAATGAAATCTGAACATTCCACCAATAGAGATACACACAGAGAGACACGCCCCCAATGTGATGTCATTACAAAGTATCAACAGGAAACAGTTGTAGACTAAGTGTCCTCTGAAAAGAAGCATGATATTACTTATGTTGTCACTTACACTTTTCCATTTGACTCACTGGTGTAGCTAAAGCATAAATGATTCATGGAAAGTCATTCTTATTGTTAGTGATGTGTTTGAAAGCATTGTAACAGGATTACTTATTCATTTTATTTTTCTTGAAAACAGCACAAACAGACTGAAATGGCTCAGCTAGCTGCTGTAATGTTAAATAATACCATTATGCATGACTAGCCCATTTCAGATGAATATTATGTGACTGAGAGCAGTTCGTTCCTCAGTAATGGCCCACCTGTGGGAATTGAGTTTTGTTTTTAACTACTATTGTGCACAGTGAGATTTGGAAGGTTTCAGAATTGTAATATACTGTATTATTCAGCACAGGAATGCAATTGCATAAGCTCTACTTCTGCCAAGGCACTACCCATTCATATTGGTAAAGCTCCCAGAATACTGTACGGCTATACTGCAAAAAAACAATATCTAAGTACATTAAATTAAGAGGATTTTACTTGATTTGAGTGGAATCAACTCGACAAGTAAAATGATCTATGAATGGAATAAGTGTGTATTTCTTAATTAAAAGTGCAAAGACTTGAAGTATAGCAAGATGTATTTTCATATTTTAGCTACAAAGTCTTCTTCCACTGGTAGATCATGTTACTTGTTAAGTGAAATTTATTTAATCATGATGAAACTTTTGTAAGTTATTTTACTTAGCTGGAGTTTTTGCAGTGTACTGAGTTTCATAGCTTTGCACATCACTACAAATTTAGCCTTATGGCATCAAATCTGAATATGTTATAGTCACAACTCTTTACTTATTAGCAAGTATTTCTCTGCAGATTCCTGTACTTTAATATATCATAGACCCTCTGGCTAGTTTCCCTTTCCCCCCTTTTTGTCATATATTAAAGATTCTCTGTGGTAGCTTCACAGAACTCAGAAATGTTTATTCAGAAGGACAGGAAAACAGTGGTGTCCCTGCTGCTTTACCTCTGTGTATGCTTTGACACAGCGCAACTCCTGTTAGTACACTTCTAGTCACTCAGTCCCACAACTACGGCAGCCTGCTGTTGACAAACTTATGCAGGCAAGAACACAGAAGACCTCCCAGGACATCTCCCTGTCAACAGCTTCAGAGGGTCACAAACAGGGCACACTAATGTAAGGGCAAATTTTTCACAGCTGACAAAAGAGCGGTGTGGGACTGTCAGGTTAAACTATAGGTTTACAGCAATGGAAGAGTGCACTGTTTCTCAAACTGTGGGGTAGGGACCACTGATGTACGTGGGAGTCTTCTGATGGAACCTGTTGTAACTGAATATAGTTTCATTTGGAATCAAAGGCATAGACATGTTTTGTTCTTGATTTGACTGGTTAAGTTCAAACATTGTCCTGACATTATTTATTCATTCATTCATTCATTTATTCAATCATTCATTCATTCATTTGAAAAGGGACATTGCTCATTAATCACCAACCAGCAATGTAAATGTGCCTGATTTTGCAGATTTGAGCTCATTTCCATTGGTAGTTCTTTTGGCCAGATACAAAAGGGCAGCCTAAAATGACCAAATATATAATAAAATTGCTGAGAAAAATACATCAGTGCTTGCAGATCTGTTTCCATAAGCCAGCTCTTGGCACTCTTTTTAAAAGAATGTCTGTAGTCGAGGATTCTTTCATGTGTATCAGGAAGCTGCTAAAACTTCATTCTTAGACCTTTAGTTCCTGTCCTGGTTTAGGGACTGTTTACACTAGAACACTTGTGGGTAAAAATGACAAAATATTTTATCGGAAGTGCCTATTGATTAGAAGGTGACATTTTTGGGGCTTAAAAAGATCTACATGTTTATATCACATACATCGCCACCTATCATCATCACCTTGCCACCTGGCATGTATACCTAGTTGAATTCCACACACTTTTACGTCACTGTACACACGCAGATTTCCTCCAGAAAATGCTGGTCTAAACACGGAATAAAAAGTGAAGATGCGACGCCACTTTTGTGTCTTCTGTTCAGACCGTCATCATATAAATAAAAATATAAACTTAGTTATAGTTTAGTTGGCACTTCTGTGGCACCTGGTATTCCCAGCGGTGTCCCATCTAATACTAACCAGACCCGCCCTGCTTAGCTTCAGAGATCAGGGCATTGACTCATACTGTAGCTATTGTCACAGTTAGTCTTAGTTTAACATGGCCTTGTTTCTGTAGGTTCCAAAATGTATAGTTTTTATTGGCCCTCAGTTGCTAAATTGGCCAAATTGATCATAGGCAGTAGATTTTATCGCAAATTCAAGTATTTCTATAACAGCATTACCTTATTTCATTGTGATACAGAAAATCTTGTTGTATTGACCATTAGTCTGTCACCCTCCACTACAAATAGGTTTCTAAATGTGGTCCTCGGTGAAAAAAGTTTGGGCACAGCTGCTTTAGACGATAGCTCTGTTGTAAATAATGCCCCATATTTACTGAAGTATCTAACCACCCTATATTGGTCCCTTTGTGTGACTTTAGTTTTTAACAGTTTTCAAATCCAACTAGTTTACTTTTACTTTGCTACCAATTACTCGAAACATCACTAATCTGTGTTACCACCACAAAGCGCATGTCTGTTAGCTCTTTTCATCCCCCTCCCTCCACAAGCCCACGGCCTGTCTCTCTCCTTCTCACCCACCCTTCGCTCTGTGGTACCCCGGGCGAGCGTCAGCATGGAGTCAGTTCATTCACACGAGTCTACGGCCATCAGCTGCTTCCTGTCCCTCCTGACCTCAAGCCCAGAGCCATGACGTTCTCTGCTCTGACACTAAAGATCCGGGAGCACTCATTTTGCTGCTAATTCTCTGTCGCCGACGGTCTGCAAACACTAAGGCCACACAAACCAAGATATGGGTCCCCCGCAGTGCAGACAGCCCAGCGCCGGGTGCCCGCTGGGTCTGTCTGAACCAAACGATTAGCACACTTCACTTAGCAGGGTGGAAAGTAGTGGCCTTGTCCTGATTTGGAGCTCCGAGCTTGACGTTTACTGACAGCCAGCTATTCGGCATCACTGGGGTTATGCTAATGTGAGCAGTGGGAGGACTGCGCTGTGCCTGGCCTTGAGTCCAGGCTCTCACACTGGCTTCCCTTGCAGTTTATTCATAATGGTAGAGATGCATAAATATGGTTGGATTGTAGAATTGTTTCAGTGATCAATGTTAGTTTGTTGGGTGTTGTGTATTGAGTAGGCGGAGTAAGGGAAGCAGCAGGGCATTTATGTGAGGAGTTCGCATGTTTTCCCATGTCCCTACTGACCCGGAACAGTCTCAGTTTTGAGCTCTTTGTCTCCTCTACAAGCAGATTTTAACAAAACCAGTGATTTGTCCCAGTATTAGGCTGTTTTTGACCAATTTGAGGCCCATCAACAGTAAAAATGGAAATATATCGTCAAGAGTTTTTGTCTAAATACAGAAACTGTGCTTGAAAATTGGCAGAATACCAAAATTGCACTCAGTTGTAATGTTATATACTGATTCACAAGTGAGTGTTGCTAGTAAAACTACAATAGTGTTCTCTTTAAAAAAAACTAAAAATAAAAAATCTAAATCTTTATGGGTAAGCGTAATGGTTTTCTTAGGAAGGGCATCTGGTATTTGCAGTTGCAGATTTAGCAATTTGAGGGCCCTAAGTGAACCTGAGTTTGGGGCCCTCACTATAATACACCATTTAATTTTTATTAATTTTTTTATATATTTATTGTCTATTTTTCCCCATTGTTCTTGAGACATGCACATCTCTATTTATTTGAATTATGGTGGATTAGAAATGATTAGAATAATCTTATTAGTTAGGTAGCCTACTAGATAACCAGAAATGAAAGTAGTTTTATTTTTTTTGCTTGAACAATTACATTTTTCTTTACATCGATTAAATATGATTAAAAGTAAACTACTCTCATTTAATGTCATATTGGCATAAAATCTAATTGCTCTGAGGCCTCAGCCATTTGTGGCACTGAGGGCAACTGGTTGGGGGCCCCTTCAGGTTTGGGGACCCTAAGCAGCCGCCTACTTTTGCCTAATGGTAGCGCTGCCTCTGGGTATTTGTTTTATGAGAAAGGAAAAATTGAGACAGATACATTTTATTTTTACCATAAACCTTATACAATATAAAGAATAACTTTATTTTCACTTTTCATGATAGCTCTTTATAATCACCTCATATAAAATCTGCTCCACGAGCAAGCAGACTCAACCATAACTACCTTTATTTTCAATATCACTATAATAATTTGACATTTCCTCTCAAATTCATATATACCGCAGTACATTGTGTCATAGTAGTTATTCTCACCCTAACCATATACTTTCTCTCTCCTCTACAGAGAGCGGGGACACGTACCAGAGGCAGGTGCTGTCCATCTTCTCCATCGCCTCGGGGATCGGCCTGCTCGGAGTGGCATGTATGGCCCTGTACCGCCGCAACAAGTGAGTCATGACAGTACACATTATAGAGATATAGGGAAGGAGGGGGGCATGGAGTGATGGTGACAGTAGTTAAAGCAATCTCGACTTCTAAACACAGAAGGAACACATACTGTAAGTAAATTAACGTTATACTTCAAAATAATAAAAAATGTAATTTGTCAAGTAGAAGTACAAAGTAAGAGTATAATAATGTACAAAATTTGGCATTTTCAAAGAACAGGTACATGAGAACAGCTAAGTCATATCTGAAGGAACAGTGCAAGAATCACAAATGTTCAGATCATTTACTATTGTCCACGTAAAGCTTTTGTCACTTGTAGACTTATTCACAGTGGGAAGAGTAACCAAAACCAACTAAGAGTAAAAGTATGTTGCTAGGAATGTACGTTGAAAAGTACAGTTTCTTCCAAAGGTTACTCAAGTAAAGAGGAGTAAAGAGGTCAGACTCCTCCAGATAGGTGGTCCTGTCCAAGTTTAGTCCAAGATCTGATGCTGGCAACTGCCAAGTGTTCCTGACCGGTTGCCCCAGTGACACTGAAGGATGGGTAGAATGTGAAGAACTTACCTCACACAAGTCATTGAAGTATACCTTCAACTCAATCAGTGTGCTACTGAACTTTTTGGGTGATTGTAACGCACAGAGATTAGAATAGCAGTATGTACCACTGTATAAAGAAGTGGACTAAGGGAGTGTTACGTCACCCACAGCATTCAACTCCAGTCAAATAAAGCTCACAAGGCTAGCAGTTACAGGAGCAAAATTGGAGCCAAGTTCCATATTAGGAATAGGAATTTATTAATGACAAAATAGTGAAATACAAACAGCAGGATCATGTAGAGTATGTTAATATGAACATTTTAAAACCAAAAAAAAAATTAGGCTTCCTACAGCAGTTACAGAGAGAGAATAGTGGTAATGATTCAATATAAAGCCACTTGGCGAGTCGATGGAGCCGAAACTGCCCCCATGCTCACTTCCTATTTGGAACAGAACAGCTAGTGGGTTAGTTATGGTGCCGACATACCAGTACACCCAAAAAGTGTTGAATTCTTTGCTAGAAAAAAATACTGTATTATCATGTTCTCTATGCAAATCTCTTTTTTTTTTCCAATTCATGCAGCATCAATAAAAAACTGGGAAATTTTTTTCCAAAAAGTGGGACAAGGGACAGGTGGTCACCCAAACACTGCTAAAAACCTGCCCTCATTCTAATACAATGCAAGTGAAGCTGTTGTCCTGACAAAGATGGCGTCACAAACTCCTCTCTCCTCCAGCAGCTATAGGAGTCAGACTGCTGTAATGGCACGATAATGTATGTGGCGGCACTTTAATGGCTCTTGATAAACAAAAAATAGGTTTTATTTCGCCGCTCTGGAGCAGCACCTCTCGGCCGCTGTGACTGGGGTGCTTTGTGGGATTAATGTAGCGGAAACCATCTCCGACTAGACACATCGTTTTCCACTGCTCATAGAATTCTTCAGAAGAGAGGCAAAAGTCTAGCAGGGGTTTACTGGGGAGATTTATGCGCGCTGTTCTCCTGGTTGATATAAGGCAGGCAATTATACATGTTATGGAGAAAGAACTAAAGTCTTTTGAAATGATATTTAGTCGTGATAAATAGTGTGTACTTTTTGTAATAAGTGCGAGTACTTGCTGTGGAGTTGTTCTGGATGATTTCTGTTTTCTCCGATGAGGCGCGTGGGGTTTGTGATTATTTATGTCATTATTTTTCACTGCACAGTGCAGTATTGACATGTTTTTAATTTGTTTTCCAACAAAGAATGTGTTTTTAAATTGCTGTACAAATTATTAGTGAGGTTTAAATGATTGATTTTTATCTTGCCTTGAAGGACACAATAATATTGCTGAAGTAATTCTCTGAGTCTGTCCTCCCTTTGCTCTCCGTGCATTCCCCCTTCAGAGCACTATTACAATAACAATTAGCGTGCATCCTGCTAATGGAACTATACTGCACATCGCATCAGGTTTGTCAAGTTGTTGTGCAGAGTTTTACTTCGTGTTATTGTATCTTTATGGAGAATTGTCATGTGGGAGCATGGATAAAGAAGGCTTATGTGCACAACATTGCACAGTATCTTACAGAAGTGGTCCCCAACCCTGGACCACGGGTTGTTGGCACCCAAAAAGAGCACCCCACCCTCCTGATCCTCAGTTTTTTGCATCCCTAAGGGTTGAATTGGGCCCCAGAGACAGAGGCGGCGCTACTATCAGGCAAATGTAAGCAGCTGCCTAGGGCCCCCAAACCTGGAGGGGCCCTCAACCAATTTGCCCTCAGTGCCACTAATGACCAAGGCCTCAGAGCAACTTGATTTTCTCTTAAATCACATTAAATGAGAGTAGTTTACTTTTAAACAATAATCATAAGAAAAAAAATAAAATCATCATATGTAATGGATGAAAACAAAAATGTAATTGTACTAGCAAAAAAATAAAACTACTTTTAGTTCTGGTTATCTAGTATTTGACCGAACTAATAAGACAAGTTTCCAATCCACCATAATTCAAGTAAATAGAGATGTGCATGTCTCAAGAACAATGGGGAAAAACAGACATATTAAAATCCAAACTTAAGTTCGCCTAGGGCCCCCAAATTGCTAACTTCACCTCTGTCTGTAGAGATCACTAATTTGCTGAAACATGTATGGATGACATCTTAAACCTCTTCAGGCCCATTTTTGATGTAACAAAACAATATTAACAACAACAACAATGTTATAACATGGTAAAATGCCTAAATTGATTTTGCGTAATACCTCCTCTTTAAATTAAGGTGTTGTCCCTCTAGAAACAGTAGTACTCTGAATTTGACCCATCCCTCAATGCTTCTGGCTCCAGAGCTCCTTTGTACTAGGCTTGGTCAGGAATAGTCCATTTGACATGTTTTTAATCTCCTCTTTATACTTTCAGCAGTTGATCATCATGTATTATGCTTACTAATGTAATGCAGTTAATAAAAGAATTTCATGTTAGCCTTTTTCTTGAATTTCACCACTAATGAACAGAGTAGCAGCATTTGTAATTTACACTGAATATTGTCAGAGTTATTTTTTTATTTAAACCATTACAAATTCATAGATTCTTTCTTTTTCCCTCTACACAGATGTCATTTGAAATCCACTTCTCACATTTTATTTATTACAATGAACTAACACTTCAATTACACCCAGAATTTAGCTTTAGAAAGGAAGCACTTCACATTGTGCCTCCCAGACTGGACACAAGAATTTCTATCACTCGTTATATTCAAATTCCTTTTTAATCTTTTAATATTTTACACCTAATTTGTCTCTGTGGTTTAAAAATGTTTTGTTTTTCTGCTTCTTTTCACCAAATATTTCCACAAGGCCAAGTAATGGATGTGTCATGCTCCATTGACTAGATTAAATTTCCACTTGTCTTCCTGGCTGCTAATGTTATTTGGAAAATATTTTTGACGCCTCTGAACAACAACAAGAACCTAACAAACTGCTTCTGCTACTTCTACAATAACTATTAGTACTACTACAAATACTTCTCCTCCTGTTCTTATTCCCACTTCTACTATTACTTCTACTACTACTACTACTACATCAAGTACTACTACAGTAGCCTCTTACTATTATGTCAACTTTGAATGCTAAAGCAAAATACTATTATTACTACGGTCCTAATTATACAACCACTATTAAATACAACTACAAGCGTGAGCCTTTTAGCTATGCTACTTCTACTACTACAACTACTACAACTGCTACTTAATAGTACTAGTTGAAATCCACATAAACTATATATTATTTATAGGGATGCACTGATCCAGCTTTTTATGTTTCGATACCAATTTCGACAAAAGACAGACAAAACTGATCCAAATGTGTTATGTAACTGTTATTTATCTAACAAATATTTACAGAACAGCTTTGCGTAAATACAAATTCAAAGATTCTGAGATCTTCTGGGCCAACTACGACCAGTAAATAATCTTATTACATCAAATTATATGTCCAACCAGGATATCAGCTGGATCAATATTTGGAAGCTGATATTCGTTCCAATTTTTCTGTATCAGCACCACCTGTATTGTATCGGTGCATCCCTAATTATTATGCTGTACTTCTATAGTTGGTAATACTGGTTTTATTAGCTATTGACTTGACTAAAGTAAAGAAATTGAACAGCTCTTAATAATATTCTTCTTTCTGTATACGAGCGTGTTTGACTAATGCATATATTTAGCTGTGTATCTGGGACCAGGCAGGTCAATACATGTGATCATCTACAATCCATACTTGTACATGAGAGCAACAAGCTGTGCACTAAAATACACAAATCAATGGGATGACTCAGACAGCCATGGATAGTTGTTTACTGCTGTGCATTTTAAATCATGCGGGATGTTGTGTTATGTGTTTGGGCGTGTATAGGCTTGTATTGTAACTTTTCTTTTTGTGTTTGATTCGCAGGAGACACAGAGAGAAGCTCCAGGCACATTTCTCGGACAGTCGCAGCCTAAGGGAGTGTAACGTGAACGCCTCAGCCCTCATGTCCAAGTCCACTAAACTACAGTACCACCAGCCACTGCAAAAAGTAAGACATCACTGTTGTACTACCAAGTTTACAACACAACTCTGGCTACTACTTCTACAACTACTACTACCTACTATTCCTACTACTACTAGCCTCCTACTATTACTTCAACTAATACTAAAACAAACTACTATTGTACTGGTTGTAATTATACAACTACTGCTACTATATATGTTATTGTACCACTGATACTGTAGTAATGTATGACTACTACTAATACTTGGGCAGGTAGTGACTGAGACTTTGTTGATCAAACTTGCCTATGTTTGAAAGTGGTGTGTGGTGGTCAGCACTAGGGATGGGCATGATTAGTCGATTAATCGATAATTGATCATTAAGAATTTCATCGATTACGTAAATTTTAATCGACAAACCGAATGCAGGTTGCTGTGCGTAGTGTGACCAAACAGGGGTCCGTACATGTGTCTCTCTGCACTCAGAAGGAGCGAACAGACACAAACAGTCAGTCAGCCTGCAACGTACCGAAGTGCATATGCATATTTAACGATGATTTGTACAAGAAATTCCACGCTTTGCGTTCCGGTCGGGACAAGTGTGAGTCCATGTGCACAGTGTATAAAGCAGCACATATGTTTCGGTGTCCAGTGGGAAAAAGTTTTGCCAGGTGAGAGTCGCGCAATGTCGATGACGAGGCTCCACCTCCCACCCCCCGTACGGTGTCCTGGTTTTGACAAACACAAATATGGTCACACTTACCTGTATTCCATTGAGTCATGTCTTTTAATCCGACAGAAGTTGACCGCATCAGCGACACAAGAGCTGTATTTTTTATCTTCGTTTAGTTTATGCAAATTAGCGATGCGGTTTTAAGTTTCGTTTCTGTGAGAGTTGCGCAAAACTGAATTAAACACATTATAATAAACGGGCTGATGTGGCTCTAGAGTCGTTACGGTTTATTTGTCGTAAAGTTGAATTTATTCATGCAGATTAGTAGTGCAGATAGTAATAATAATGATGATCATTTTAATATAAAAACGTTAATGATTAATCAATAATCGATCGTTAATTCTCTCAACGATTGATTAAGAAAATTTCATCGAATGCCCATCCCTAGTCAGCACTGTTATGTCGGGCAAGTTACTTCAAAACTGTAATGTGTTATTTATTACTTGTTACTGTCAAAGTAATTCATTATATTACAATGTTACTGCATTTAAAATGTAAGGCATTGCACGACTATTGCAACACATTAAATTACTCTCACTGAAATAACTGTGCGGAGATGCTGAACTTTTGTGCCATATATGGACTGAACCGGGACTAAACCAGGACTAAACCAGGTCTAAACCAGGACCAAACCAGGACTAATCTTGGATTAGGACCTGGAATTTAGGACTGCCCCTGAGAGAACCCCAAGCCTGTGAAGCAGGGTGTCCAGAAAGGATGCTACTGATATTTGTATCAAGTAAAACATTTTTTCCCTGTAATGTCTTACATTACTGCGTTACAGCAAAAAACAATGCAGTACAGTAATTTGTTACTTTTAAAACGCGTTACTCCTAACACTTGTGGTCAGAGGGGCAGATTAGCAACCTATATTGTCAGTCTACCCCAGGACAACTGTGGCTACAAGCTTGTATCATCAAGTGTGGAGAGAATAATGATGTAAAATGTTTTAGAGAATCCAAAAAGTGCTTCATAAATCTATATTTATATCACTAATATTACTGTTCGTGGCTAAACATTAGACCTCTCTGCTCTACTACACTTTGTTATTGTAATGTTACCGCTAATTATACCACTAGTATCTTCCACTTCACAACAGAAATCTTCAGCCTTTGGTGTATATATTTTAGTTCCTACTACAACTACTACAACTAAAACAACAAATTCTACTATTACCACTGTTTGTGACCTTTCAGTTGATCTAAAACCCTGATTACTTTACTCCTACTACTAATACCGCCTCTACTACCAGGCCCATCGATAGAAATATGGGGGCCCGGGCCAAGAAGCCTCACATGGGCCCCCCTCTAATATTAATGAATAAAAATAGGGTACAGTTCTGGGCCCTTAAAACCCTGGGAGCCCTTTTTCCTCACTGTCTACTGCCTTTACTACCATTGCTACTACGACTACTACTACAACGTTCTTTGATCACTTATTTCCGATGATAAAAAGGAAATGACAGTATATTCTATTACTGTACTGCTATTCACATTGTTGTCATACTTGTCCAGTGTCAGAGTACCATGTTTAAAGGTGCTTTATTAAACTGGTACACGTGCACGTTCATGAGACACAGGCGTATATTAGCATTGATTGAGCTGAAATGTCCTTGTCTTTAGCTCATAGTTGTGTCTCCATCTCCAGCAGAAATCCTTTACAGAAGACTAGGCAGATGATGGACGATCTGGCTCTTAATAATGTCTCCACTGGCTGCAGCCGTTTGTTCATCTCTGACACGAGTGGAGAGACAGAGCTCGGATTAGGCCGGAAATAAATTTGCCTCGAGGAAAAATTTACTCATCCTGTTCACAATGACAGATAAAAGAACAGATAAAGAAGAGGGGCTTGTTGATTTAAATAGCACTGTTGGGGTAGTGCAGGTGCAGGGGTGAGAATGGGTAATTTACTTTGAAATATGCAAAAAGGCTTAAAGGGATACACATATGCATATCATTGTATTCAAGGTAGTGTATGTAACATGTGCTCTTTACTCGTTTAAAAGCTGTAATCATAATTTAAAGGTACAGTATGGAACTTTTTGGAGGCGGCAAGTTAAAATCATGGAATATTCTCAATGCAGATAGATGGGTTTTATGCTATACTATGGAATATTATAGCCAAGGAACAGCATTTCCATAGAGACCAGCAGAAGGAGGCTCTCCTCTAGGCTAAATAAGAGTCAGGTTTGTGGAGATGCAAGCATGCATAAGTGAGGATACGTGTTTTTCCAAGTTTTTCAATGCAATTTACACAACCAAAATCAAAAAGAGGAAAAAAACAAACCAATAACTGTGCTTTTATTGTAGTCTATTTTGTGGCTGAAAAGTTGAATACTGTGGCTTTAAAAATGGCATTAGCTGCTTCATATGTGGACACAAACTTGTTTTAGTCATAGCATCAGAAGGGATTAACATCTTATTAATCAAACAAACAAGTATAAACGACTCTACATCTTGTACAAATGTTTTTTAATAGTTAATATTGCTGTGAATAAATTAACACAGTAATTGTTATCATCAGTAAATTGTATATGAGTATGCCCACTTAAAATCCAGGGACACAAATAGGTAATGCTTGTACTGTATTTTCTGAATTATAAGTCGCTCCAGAGTATAAATCGCACCAGCCAAAAAAATGTGCAATGAAGAAGAAAAAAACATATATAAGTAGCACCGGACTATAAGTAGCTCTTTTTGAGGAAATGTATTTTGTAAAATCAGAGATTAGGAACAGACATTTCATCTTGAAAGGCAGGTTATAGTAAAAACAACAGAATAGAGAACAGGCTAAACAGGTGTTAATATGTTAACAGTTATTCAGATAATTATAGCATAAACAACAGAACATAAGTTTACCAAACTCACAATCTCACTCCATATCACTAAATCCATTGAATTCTTCATCCTCTGTGTCACTTCTGCAAAACCTCTGGAGATAAACCATAGATCCATGAGGTAAACAGAGCGTCGCTTCCTCTTCTGCGTAGCTGTTGTCAGACTCAGCATCAGTTTCATTTAGAATTATTCTGGCCTTTCTGTTTCAGTTTCAATTGTCAGTGAAGTTCAGGCTTTGTCAATTCATCCAGTGACTTCCAGGAAAGTTTCATGGCGCACTCGCTCGGTTGCCGTGAAGCTGTGTTTTCCATCCCCGCTTTCTGCTAGTTCCTCATGAGTTTCTCGCTCACTCCAAACTTTCTTTCTGTTGCTCGATTACTGTTTTCGGCTGAATATTTCACTATTTGCAGCGAGACAGTGGCTATTTCTACAGGAGACATGCGCAGTAGAGTGCGAAGTGACAGTGGTACAGGAGTAATAGTAGTACTAGATAATGACACACAAGCCTAGAGCCTCTCACGGCTATCAGTCTAAAAATTTTAATATATAAGTCGCACCGGAGTATAAGTCGCAGGACCACCCAAACCATGAAAAAAAAGTGTGACTGAAAAATACGGTATATTTAAAAGTTTTATCAAGTTCTCCACAGATCTGACCTTTAACTTAACCTGAAGGCACCAGCTTGTTTCCATAGATAAGGGTGCGTCATGTCATTCATTAGGCTACTGTAAGAATATTGTAGGCAAAGTAATGACATCTCCATGGAGACGGCAGATGGCAAACTCTCCACCAGAAAAGTTATATAGTGCACCTTTGATGTTCTTCAAAAAGAAAAGTTTAAAGAAACAAACAACAGTTAATTTGAATAATAGTGATAGGGCTGTTAATAGTTTTTTGAAGTGGTTCACATCTGTCAAGAAAACCTGACAGTTTTTCATCAAGTGACTTTATTTTGAAGCTAAAGAAACACATTTGAGACAAAGGCAGATGTAAAAGTGCTTTGATTGCTTTTATAATTTGCCATTTATTTCAAAGGAAATTTCAATCACATTAAATTATTTCACATGAATGTTTCTTTTGTCAGTTTCAATTAACTTTTGTCAAATTGGTGGATTTTTAGACTTCATGGGAATTATCGCTATAAGCATTCTTTCATGGGTTTCACTAATGTCTTTGCAGCTTTGATTTCAGAGAGTTATGTGCAGTTGTTGCTTGGTTTAATCTAACATGGAGAGTTTTAAGCATTCTTGGCAGTTTGCAAATTACTTGAATAGAAGTACTACTACCCATATTATTACTAGTGACTGTTACTAAAGCTGGTACTTTCAGAAGATGCTTACAATTACTTTTACTTTAATACATGCATTCTTTTTACCATTACATTGCACAATATGGTACAATATGTCACAATCAAAATGACAGTCTGAGTTGCAGCAGTTATAAAATCGTAAAGGCTGCAATTTCATCATTGAAATA